TTTTCCGCGCGCTGGAGGAGGTCCTTCACGACGCGATTCAACGCCGCGGCGTCGTGGCCGAGCAAACGACCTTCCAACCTCGCCACGACGCGGAGTTGCCGCGCGCGTAACTCCGTCAGGGTGTCCGCCAGCGTCCGTTTGACGTACAAAACGGGCGCAGACGAAGGAGAAAGGGGGGTTGGGTTGGGGGAGTTCACCCCTTCCAAGGGCGTGCTCAGCTCGGCTTGGAGCGAACGAAGTCGTCGGAGCGCGTCGTCCGAGGGGAGGCATTCCAGGGTTTTCAACAGCGCGGCGACGTGCAGGACCTTCCCCGGGCCCGTCCTTCCGTAGACATCCGTCATGAACGCCTTCACGACGACCTCGCCGGTTTTGGCAGAACCTACGCGCCGCTCGAGATGATGCAGGGCTTGGCGAGAGGCCGGGCGGATTAGCCCTCTTAAGGAGTGCATGGGGGTAATTGGGTTAGCCTAATTCGTGCACGACTTTATAGACCCCCTTGGCTTCCCTTTCTTCACCCTTTGGGTTCGCTTTTTCTCTCTTTCTTTCTTCCTTCCTCCCCACTCCCTTTGAAACCTCTTTGAAGACTAAGGTCATAGGAAGTTCAAGATGATTTGGGAGGGGCAGCACCAAAACGAAAACAAAATGTAAATAGAGAAAAAGAGAAACCCACAAGAAATATACCACACGCGCACACACAAAAGGAAAAAGACTCCATGAATTTAAGACTCAGCCATAATAAGCAACCCCTTCCTCCTTGCTACCAAGAAGAACACGGGGGTTGTCTAATTTTTCTTTTTATTATTTTTTTTATTATAAAAAGGCCTAGCAAATAAGAAAACTAAGTAGTTGTGGACCTAGAAACGCAGCCAACTCGCGAACCATCCCCGCTTCTTACGCCTTGGGGGTCTTGAAGTGGTTCGCGATGCGGCGGTTGACGACCTTGAGATAGCGGCACCTTCCCGTTCCCGTCCGGCGGCGTTTGATCGCCTTCACCGACCAGTTGTAGCGTCGGCGGCTCGGGCGGGGGTAGGCGCACGCCGCGCAGCGCTCCCACTGCACGTGATACGCGTTGCGGCCGCAGCGGCGGCAGAGGATGTGGGTGCGCCCGTGGCGCTGCCCCATCGACGTGGTACCTTTGGTCATTATGGATCAACGAGCCCCTGGGTCTTCCTTTTCAAAAAGAAAAAAAAAGAAGAAGAAGAAAAGGACGAAAGAATGGAGAAAAAGGCAATCAAAAAAGTAATAGCGATCTAGGATGGAGGATCCTAATAAGGTTGTCCACCCCACGGATACATTCATCCATATCCATTCATACCACCCATCCATCATACCCTAGAGGGACCCTTTTTCAGAGTCCGCCATGTGGTGAAATCGGCATCCGCAAAACGAACCACTTACTGGTGCACCTCCGTGAACCATTCCATTAATTAAACCCGCTTAGTAACAATAATCCAAATAACAAAAAGAAAGGAGAATAGAAAAGGCTCATCAGGCGGCCCCCCTCCCCCTCCTCTTCGAGGCATCCAAAATCTACAACCCCCCCCCTTCCTCTGCCGCCGCCGTGCAAAGCCACGCGTTGCAGAAGTCATCCCCGTCTTTGTGAAGCCCCACCTCCCCTTCCGTCGCCGCGGGGTGGTTCGTTGCCTGTTTTAAAATCGGAATCGTGGCGATAAAAGGAAGATGCCAACGCCTTGTCGTCTTCGCCGTCTTCGCGAGGGCGGATTGCACCCAAACGGAGTACGGCCGGGGCGTGTGAACCACCAACGATGTCGATCGCGTGTGGGGGTGGAAGAAAACGGTGTAGGTGATTCGATGGCGTTGCCGCCAGCGCAGGAAAAAACGCGGGCGGAGGATGGAGAAGTGGTGATCTCGCATCTGATCGTTTGAAACGATCCAGGTGTTCGGCCGTCGCACCGCGGCGTACAACCAGCAGAAGTCGTCGTTTAAAAACGACGGGCTCGCCAGTATCGCGTGCTGCTCCGTCCAGATCCGAAAAACCTCCGCGTTCGCCACTTCCAGCTCCGGAAGATGCCGCCGATGCAACACGATAAGCGGTTTCCTTCCTTGATTTAAAAGCACCTGGCGGAGGTCCTCGATGAGGGGAAATTTCGGTGCGACGTCCACCGGCTGGGGTGGGCAGCGGCGTTGGAAAAGCGGGACTTCGTTCGGATCCCGACCTTGCCGCCGCAGCAGACTCTCCTTCGACTCGGCGTACCAGCTATTGAGGCCGTGATAGCCAACATTCGCGCCGTCAATCACCGTATCGTACGAAATCCCGGCGAGCTGATCTTGAAAGCGCGTGAATTCCGCCAAACGCGCTTCTTGATCCGCCGCGGTGACGATTTTCTCCGGCTCGTAGTGGGTGGCGATGCCGAGCCGTGGTTTAATCAGCCACTCCAAAATATCCTCCAAAAGACCGCGACGCTCGTCTTCGGTGAGGTCGAAGGTCGCCAAGGCGGCCTCGCAGCCACTGCAGATCCCCCCGGTGCCGCTCTCCACGATGGAGACCTCCTTGCCGCCGAGGATTTCTTTAATGAGCTCCGCATTGCCGGAGCCGGTTACCGGGTGATATTTCTCCATCGTCTCAAGCACCTTCTCGACGGCCACACGCATCTCGCCGCCCGCGATGGATCCCTGTTTACGGCAGTTCGAAATCGTCATCAAGAGGTCGTGAAAGTCCTCATCCCATAGCTCGATCGCGCTTTCGTTCGCCTGGGCAAGGACTCCTAAGGCAAAACCCAGATCCGCCCGCTCCCGGGCGTACGAAAGCAGTGGCGAGAAGACCCGTCGCTTGAGCGAACCCGTGGGAAGAAGTTGAACGACCTCGAGGAGTTTCGCCGTATCGGGTTGCGTCGTGGATTGAACTAAAAAACGCAGCACGACGGTTGCCACACGATCGTCAAAGGTGGTGGCGAACACCTCCGGCAGCTGCGATCGGCTCGCGAGAATCGCCTGGATGAGCGCCTCCCCACTCGCCTGCAGCGCGGTGCAGCCTAACCAAGCGTAGAGCACCCGCGCGAGCGTCTCCCCACGGGGAAGATTGCCGTGTAGGGCGAGGAATTCGCGAAAAAATTTCAAAACCACACCCGCTTTTACCGGGTTATTCTTAGCCTCCAATGCAATCGTGCAGAAGGCCTCGTTTAGGAAGTCGGTCGTTCGCAATCGCCGCTTTGGCTTCGTCTCGGCGTTGTTTTTCCGGACAAGCTCGTGGATTTCAACCAGTTCGCTAACGCTGAGGGGAAGATCCGGGTTCTTTTCAATTTGTGTTTTTGCCTTTGGTAGTTCCCTACCAGAGTCCTCGACAGAGGGACGTTTGCGCTTCATGTGAGCTGATTAGTTTAATACTATTGGGATTAGATTGTAACAATTTTCGATTGTAAGACAATATCGTAAATCCATACAAATATATTTGTATATATATATATATATATATATATTTATATATATACCTAGTGATATATAAATGTATATATATTATTATCCATATACTTTCTCGCAGCTATTCCTGTGCAAGCAGATATGGTAGCTTCTCTTATCGTACATAAAAAGTCATGAAGGTATAGAACAAAGATATCTAAAGTGAGTCAATCAAAGGAAGTATCCCCAAAATGAGGCTTATTAATTAGAGAATATGAGAGACGCCAGTTGCTTAGATACAATCAGAGCATACCACATTGGGGCAATATGTAATAGAAAAGAAAAATATATAGTTATAAATAAGGTCTCAAGCTGTTTACAAAACACGAAGTAAATACCTCCAGGTTATTTGATTATAAAGAAAACTAGTATATTATATTTAAAACATTAAGGTTAGTTATGACAAAATAAGAGCAAATGCTCAATTTATTTTGGGGTAAATTAGCAATCGATAATAGAGATTACGGCTCAGATATCACCCTTCATCTAGTAAATAAATTTTGCGACATGCCAAGTAGTTCCACCAATTTTGTACACAAATCCTAAACACTTAATTGAAAGGATTCGCTTACCACCTGTATAATTCTAGAAAAATAGTTCTATTTCTGAACTAGGATCAGTGGCAATAAGATATTTTTCTAGTATTTTGAAAACAATTTTTCGGTGTATAAAAGTCTGAATTTCTATATCTAAACACTTGACACGAATTACATTAGCAGATTGCATAGAAAAATAAGCAGGTTTCCTTATATCAAAACTTTTTTCGCCATTTTATTAACCTCTTAAACCCTTTGAAGGGTAGTCTATTCCAATACCCCCATATTGATTATTCCATCATTTTGTAGTGTTTCACTGTCTTCAGTAAGAGCATTTATATGATTAAATGCATAGCCGCCATACATGTTCTCAAGATCTGAAAGCTGAATAACCGCACCGTTGCCGTTTTTCTTTCTTAACACCAAGTCAAACTCCTCCTTGAAAAAAGAAGCCAATGCATCACTATTATCGATCTCCTCCGTGGGAAAGTGCTGAGTGCACTTCTGAAATTCGCCCCAATCCTTATAATCCCAAAATCCTTTCTTTTGACTGTCAAACGTCGAGAAAATAAGCGATACTAAGGCCAGGTCGTCGTTGTTCAGCAGAATACGGAATCCTTCATACTTTGTCAGTTTAAACAAGTCGCGGCAGAGACGACAATACGACTCGTTGGTTTCTTCATCAAACTCCAAGTCCTCGATGCCGTGGCAATTTGCACACACTCGAAGAACCACAACATCGTCGTCGTCTTCATCATTGTCGCTTAAGTGTTTTGGGTTTGAGCTCATTGCAGCATAAATATATCTACTTTTATTCTTAGCAGAAGGTACGAATCTATACCTAAATAATATCTGAGGGGTTGATTTCCTTTAAACTTAAGTAAAACACCGCTTGTTATCAATTATATTTTCAGTGAAAGTGAAGAATAATGAGAACTTTACGGAAAGCAAAGAGAGGAGAAATGAAGCCAAAGAGCAGTAGCTGATCCCAAATGATAGTGTTAATTAAACCATTGACGGGATATGGACACCTATAAGAAAAGGTATCCGCCAAAATAATGTAACAGCAAGTTTATTTATTTCGTCAACATTCTCCCT